CCAGTTTTAGCAAAAAAATACCACTAACAAAAACTCAGCTGTGTCAGTTTGCAAGAACCGCTCCCATCCTCACCCTCAATAATTTATCAGGTTCCTTGTCCTCCACTATATCTCAGGTGACGTTTGATCACCCTAGCCTGGCTTCAGCAAGAATTCCACAGGTCAGTTTAGCTGGTGTTCCCTTTACTCCTGGATGTTCCTTTTTGGTAATTTTCTGTCCACTCTCTGCTCCTTGGCTATAAATCCCTACTTGCCCATGCTATGTTCAGAACTGAGCACAGTTCTATAGCTATACCTCTTCCCCCTGTGAACAAAATTAGCACTGAACAAAATTAGTCTGGACTGCTTTAACTGCTGTCAGGCTCTGGCTTTTCTTTGACATGGTTGATCACTTTTATTGTAAAGAATTAGGATTTTCAAATCACATTGCTCTACAATATCATATTCTTCCCAGGTTTTTCAGTGTGCTTTCATTTTTATTCTCGGAATAGCACTGGGGTAGGGGGAGTCAAGACAGGCATTTTTACCCATTACTAACAAGTTACAAAACTGAGTTGCAGAGAGGCCAGAATCCAAGATAATAAGTGTTGGAGCCAAAGTCTTATCACTTCTAACCCCAGACTCCTTCTATCAGGACAGGGATAGTTCTCTGGGAGCTGTGAATCAGAATGTCACCTGCAGTTTCAGAAGACATAATAATTCTAATATGTCCAACTTTGTGATCATCGATAAGTTAAATAATATGGATATAGAAGTACAGAGGAAAAAAATCACCAAACTATGGACTAGAAAAGATCCAGAGAGAGGAAAAGAAACAAGCCCAGGCTGTTTTTCAGGTTTATACTCAGAAACTTCTAGATCTGCAACCTGATAACTGTCTTGTCTTTGAATGAAGAACAAAGCACTCAAATAATTGTAAGAATTTTCATATAAAATGCCTGCCTTATTGCTTGCCATATGGGAAGGACTCTTAGAAATTTTTCACTTCCCTTTCTTTATGTAGTCATGATCTTTGCTTCAATTTGTCAATTGCCAAACTAGATTTTAACATCTGCCTTTTCTGCAATAGTGATTTAAGAAATGCTATTTAAACAAAAAGAACAATGGACAGATTTGAAGAAACATAAAATCAAATTCTGGGATGTATGTGTGTAACCTAAGTACTAAGGATTATAATTCACTTTATACAAAGGGCATGGCAGACATGTGAATACAATGATTTCTATGATTTGCTCTGCTCTGGAAAGATAGTAATGCGGATGGGGAGACTCTGACTTTATTTCCACCTTTCTCTTTCTGCAATATTAATCTAAGGTTCCAAAACACTGTTTGGACCACAGTTAATAGAAAACAAAGATAGAGGGGGAGTTTTTCTCTAATATATCCTGCTCCCAAGGAGACATTCTTGTACACCCTCTTCTCACCCATTCCTAGGGAGGCAGTGGGGAGCTGGAGAGTCACCTCTTGGGGGAGGTTAATTTTCTTGCTTTCTCCTGCCACCTCTTGCTCACACAGAGCTGGATTGGCTAGCTACCCCTGGGTCTTTCTCTAACCAAATCTTGCTTTCCTTTCTTGCAGTCTAATCTGTTGACAGAATGCATGCCCTTGAGCATATAAATTACATCAATTGGTGATAAGATTTGAGAAACACCCCCTTCTTTTCCTGAGGGCTTAAATTTAAATCCTGTTTCCAGCCAAATTAGGAGAGGGCTTTGCATCAAGAATTATGTCTATTAAGAAATGAGCAAACCTAATCAGTAAAGTGGACCCATGTTGCCCATTTAACATTTTTTTCCCCTGTGCTTAAGGCATTCAGTAACATCAAAGGGAAGAGTAGTTATGGTTTTGTGCACATGCCATGTGTGTGTGTGTGTGTGTGTGTGTGTCTATGTGTGTGTGTGTGTGTGTGTGTGTGTGTGTGTGTGTGATGTGTTTAAGGGAGAGCATGTGTGAGGGCCTTGCTAAGCCCTCTGGTCATGTGACTACTCTAATATTACAATTCTGTCATCATCTCTAACAACCTGATTCATTTGGAGGAAGGAACAATGGAAATGGATCAGAGAGCCAGGGAGGGCTAGAACAGTGGGGTGTCCAACCCTGGAAGTATTGAAACATGAATTTCTGTGTACAACTCTGGAAGCTCAGACAAATTATATTTACTGAAGAGAGAATGTGTTTAGGAAAAATTTTTAAAATTCTAGTAAGTAAATTTATTAAAGTTTTAAGATACATAATTTATTTAAATGTAGGTTTCCAAGATTTTCTGAAAAAAAAAAAAAGAAAGAAAGGAAACTAAGTAATTATATCAATCCTACTGCTATAAATCAAAGTGTGTGCCTGTGTGTGTCTGGGTAGGTTTTTGTGCTTGGGTGGGCTTGTCAGTGTGCTTTGTGTGCATGTGTAAGTATGTGTTTGTGATACTTCTATTGGTATAACAAAGTGGGTATAGAACTGATTTCTAACTCTAAAAATTTAGCTTCAATACACATGAAAACCCAGCCACATCAACATTTATGGCAGCTTAATTCACAATAGCTAAACTATGGAATCAACCTAGGTGCCCTTCAACAGATGAATGGATAAAAAAAAAAATGTTGTACATACACACAATGAAATATTAGTCAGCCCTAAAGAAGAATAAAATTATGGCATTTGATGGTAAATGAATAGAGCTGGAGAATATTACGTTAAGCTAAATCAGCCAATCCCAAAGAACCAAAGGCCAAATGTTTTCTCTGATATGTGGATGCTAATTCACCACAAGGGTGGGAGTTAGGGAAGAATAGAGGCACTCTAGATTTGGCAGAGGGGAGTGAAGGGAGGGGAGATAATCTGAGGGTAGGAAGGATAGTAGAATGAATCAGACATTATTATCTTATGTCCATATAATTACACAACTGGTGTGATTCTGTATCATGTACAACCAGAAGAATGAGAATTTATATTCCATTTGTTTGCATTCTACTGTCATTGATAACTAATTACGGCAAATTTTAAAAACATACACACGAAAAAGCAAGAAATCAAGGAACAACAATGATAGGGTAACTCAAAGAAAGGTTTCTAACAATTATATTAAAAATTAATGCATGGAATACCAGAAACATTACAAGAAGAACATCCTTCTATTTCTGTTTAGGCCTGCTTCGGGATTTGAAAGCAACCATGTCAGTCCCACAGGAACAAAAAGAAAGAATGGATCCTCTAAATCATCATAACTCTTCCTGAGACAACCAGAAAGCTGAGGTCACAAGACAACCAAGTAAAACCTATCCCAGAGAGAAAGGAAAAAAATAAATCTTTTAAGAACAGACAGGACACACAATCTACCTCAGTTTGGGGAAAGCAGAGAACACACTGATGGCCTTATCAGTGTGTAAAAAGAGATCAGCTCACATTTTACCTGATGAACTTTCCTCTGCCTTTAGGTATCACCCACAGTGACTGACACCCAGACTGGACTGCATCATAGAATCCCCACGTGGACAACTAAACATTCAAACTCCAGGACGTGTGTTTTATACTAGTAGGCACTGTCTTATGATGGGAAGGCAGCCAATTACAACAAATTCTGGGTTGGCATTGTCTTAATCTTATCTTTCTCATTTTTTTAAATTCTTCTTTTAAAGATCTGCTCTAAATCACACAGTGATTCATTTCTGAATCTATCATCTTGCCTGGGATTGCCTGGGCAAAAAAAAAAAAAAAAAATGTGGTCTACTTTGAAAGTTCTATGACTCATCAGGGAGAACTATAATTAATTTCCATTTAACTCTTTCAAGCTGATCTCTTAGCAGAGGAATATCTGTATATAAACAATGAAGTCCATTGCCAAATCTCTTTATATTGAACATTTATGAAATCAATGCCTTTCTAAATGAATTCAACCACTGGCTCCATTAACTCTACTTTTATATCAATAATGATAATAGCATCCAGGAGGCTAAATTCTCTTTGTTTTCACTTGAAGCCATACTAAACTGAAGACGATGTGCCAGTAAAACAAAGGAAATTTGAAAATGCTAAATTAGGCATCTAACAAAAAATGATGACCAAGGTGCATTCCATGATCAAAATGTGACCAATTTTACACACACATTTTGAGCAAGGGCTTGACCATCTGCATGAACATCCCAACTTCACCACTTACCAGTTGGACATTTGAGTAGGTTCTCTGACATTTCCAAGACTTAGTTCTCAGATCCGCAGTAACTAAATGTTAGTAATATTCAAATCATAGGATTATTGCAGAGATTGAAAGAGGCTGGCACACAGGATATCTATTACTGTGTAAGGTCAGTAGATATCTTGGCTGGTATGAATATTTCCTTTTATCTCTGCTTAACAGATGCCAAAGAAGTTACTCACAACAGCTAAATCATTTATTGAAGGAAACAAGGCCAGGCTTACAATGATCATATTGATGCCTCCTAGATTTTAGTCTTTCCCTTTATACTGGACTTTTTTCACTTAAACCTATTATTTGGTTTATATGTTATTTAAATCACTAATGATTTTGGTGAAATCTTTTCCAAAACCAAGAACAGTAAACCCACATAAAAAGGAAGCCAACCAAAGTCAAGTCATATTTTTAACCTTTATTTTATTTAATAATTTTTATGTGGTGCTGAGGATCAAGGCCAGGGCCTTGCACAAGCTAGGTGAGAGCTCTACCACTGAGCCACCACCCCAGCCCCCAAAGTCAAGTAATTTTTAAAAACAGTTCCATTGACTCATGAATTATAAAATTAAAAATAATAGAAGGTGAACCTTAACTTTGAATCCCCGATTAAAGGTTGGTTCAACTAATGGTGGCAATTCAAAACAATCCTCTTATTGTCTTTAATATTTTTATGCAGTTATTGATGTATATTGCAGTTACAGAACTGAAAACACATGGAAAATTATCACACAGACCAGGCCATATACCAATTCATATGCCAATTAATCCAACAAACTTTGTAGCGGAGCAAAAGAAACCCTAATGCCAAAGCACTTACTGCAGCTTGCCGATGAGTATTGGAGAGTATTCCATGAATCTTCACTTTGTCTTTCTCCATTTGGTCTATGTTCACCCACAAATCCCGGCTGGCAGAGTCAGATGGGCCATATATCCGAGATATATAGTAATTGTGATCTGTGTCCTCCTGCAGAACAAAGAAGAATTTATATCAAGAACTGAAATATTGTTCCTAAAATTCTCTTTAAAAAATTCTATTGACATTAGTAGTTTTAGTAGTCTTCAAAAGAGCAAAATACTATTTAACGATAAAGAAAGTGAATTAAGATGATGAAAATAATATACACAAAATTAGCAATCCTCTTTAAGGGGCACTGTTAAGTAATAAAATTTACAGCCAAATAAATTTTCTGTGTATGGCTATCTTTTCTACCACAATAATATTGAATCTGATTGCTGCCCAAACAAAAGATGTCTTTTTTGAAATATTTAATAGAAGTCTAAGCTATAATTCTATTGAATGACAACAAATTGAAATTTCTTTTATTTAAAAAATAAGTTTAGAGCAAGGCCTCTGTTCAGTTAATAGCCCTAAAAATTTAGAGAATATGTATTCCCCTTTAGTCTAGGTTATTAATTTCTCCTCTTATTTGGATTCTCATTATTGGCATCACCATGGTGTCTTTCACAAAGCTTTTATTCTTTGTGTTTCCCACTCAATGAAGAGATTGAAATGTTTAAAAAAGTAATTTTGATGAGGAACATCCAGAACAAATCATACAATTCTTGGCTAATTATGATTGCATTTTTTAAACCATAAAAATAAAATTGTGCTTATCAATTTGAGAAGTCCCTACATAGAATATACCTTAAGACATTTGGGTAAATGTAAGAAAAATGTTGATTGAATTGAAGGACTATGATTTGAATAATAAAGATTGGGATATCAATTCTGCCCAATGCATTTATTAAGTATTAATTAAATAAATTACAAGTACTTTTGAAATTTGATCTAAACAAAAATCCTATATAATTTATCAGAAGTCATCTTATATATATGTACATCATTATATATATACATGCACTATATATATATACATATATAAATGATACCACTGACTACAGAAAGGAAAAGAATATTCTACATAGTATTCTAAGGGGATTTTTGCCTCATGACTAAAATAAATCATAGGACCCCAATGCAAAGGTGGAGAACAGTGATTAGATGTTAACAGAGAGGGAACTTTTTTCTTCCTTGATAAACATTATAGGTAAACCTCCAACCAGACTTTGGGAATCCATTCAAAGGTTGTGTATGCCCACATGGAAGGAAAAGAAAGTTAGCAGAGAAGGAAGAAAAAATATGAGAAGACAGCAGAATAGGATGCCAGGAAGCCCACGGGAGCTTCCAAATCCTCGTGGGCTTTCAATCCCTGCCTTTTAGAACATCATGGCACTGACTCTAATCCTTTGGATTCTGTGAGACAAAGAGCATGGCAGTCTGTGCCTCCATATTCAGCCCTCCTAGCTGACCTGCGCTTCACCACTGGAACCCCAGGGGTGAATAACAAGGAAGGTGGGCACCTTCCTTGATAAGAGCACACACTGTTAGAGTCAGTAAACAAGTCAGGATGGCGCCTGGCATTTTGCCAGAGGGAGTGGTTTGTGAAGTAACACCAGCGAGCCATTAAGTGTGGAGATTCCTTATTGGTTGACTGCTGTATCAAGTTTATGTTAATTAGATAAGCTGTGTGGAATGTATAAATACCGCTCCTGTCCTACAATAAAGGGCTTCCACACCTGCTGTATCAATCTACACAAGTTGTTCGTCACCCCCTGGTTATTTTGCTGCAGCCGGACTGCGGCAACACACCACTTTGCACATGTCACTCTTCCAGCCACAGAGATTGCGGGGCACATAGTGCACATGTGCTAAGAGAGACCTATGGGCAAGATGCTCAAGAGAGGAAATAACTTGCATTATCCTGACTATTGAGAAATGTATATGTGAGACTTGGAACTGCTACCTGTTTTGCTGCCATGTGGAGGCCCTACCGGAAGATATAGCAAACACATACAAATACATAGAATAATAAACATGGCCAAGAAAAAGCCAGCTCTCTGATCAAGTGTATTTAAGTGTGACCTACTGCTGAACCTGTTCAATCTCTTTTACTTTTAAATCACCTGAAGTTATGTGATTGTCAACGAAAGGAATCCTTGTTAAAAACCAGCTTTCTCTTACTTGAAACCAAACTTCAGCAAGGTTGATTAAGGCAACTTGGACAGATTTATAAGTCTGCATGGCAAATATCTCTCATTTAATTCTAGTATTTCTAGGTAATCACACAGCAGAAATGGAAGCTTGTATAAAACTTGCCAGAAATCATCAGGGGTGAATAACAAAAGATGTTTCATTTAATTTTAAATGAGTGGTATGGAAGAATGGCTTTCAACATTGAGTTGCAATAAAAAAATTAAAATTTTTATCACTATTGCTGTTATTATTATAAAGAGTTCAGCAGCACTAAGGTCAAGGATATAATATTTAGGCAAATTAAAAAATATATTTTATGATGCCGCCAAATTCTCATATAATTACTAACTCATAAAATTTCCAACTTGCAGAATGGAATTCAGTATAAATTTTAAAATCAACATTATTAAAAACGTAGCCATTTTTCTTAATCCCTGAATCTTTGCAATGAGTCAATAGTCTTGAAATTATCATAAAGAATGCCATTGTATTAAAATAATGAATTATCTGCAAATATGCACATAAAACTTTATCCAATTACAATGAATTTCACTGACATGGCTATGTGAAAATACACTTCCATGTTTTACTTAAATCAGAGCTGCCCAAACCAATATCCCATCTTTGAACATATTGAAAAACTGAATACGAGGGGACTCCAAGATGGCCGCGAATAGAGTGCATCACACCCCGTGTATCGCGCCACTGCGCAGGTGAATAACGAGTTAGAACGACAAAAAACTATCTTGTTAGGAAATTACAGCCAAATGGGGGTGCACCGAAACCTAGAGTAAGGATTTCCAGCACCGAGGTCCGGTAATTGAGTCTCAAACACGAGCCAACTGTGCAACCGGAGAACCGGGCTGACTGATCTGCGCGGCCCGCCCCGCGGCTACAGACCTCGGGGCACCGCCAAGAAGCGACCAGCAAGCAGGGAGAAACGTTGCTGCGGACTCTGTGGAATCCTGCTGGCTGAGCCCTCACTGAGCCTCGGGCTGAGTTTGGGATTTCCGACAGATTGCAACAATAAAACAGGTGTGTGTTACTCTGCTCATCTCCCATACAGTGGGGAATTGGCATAAAATCTCTCCTAGGCTTTCCGGGGGAGGGATTATCAGAGCGAGCCTGCATAGAGACGTGGGGAAAACTAGAGACACCTGACCTTCAACTCCCCCTCCCATCAGCAGCGAAAACGAAACCTGTCTTGCCAGCGATGGGGGAGGGGCAAGCGGAAAAATTCAAAACAATAGAGTGCCAGGGTTCCCAATAGCCACCCTCCACACCCAACAAACGGCAGGCCCAGAGTACAGTTTGAACTGCCGAGAGGCATCACTCAGGGGAAATCTGGTCTAGCAGGAGAAACCAGGACTAGCAGGAGAAACCAGATGACTAGAGGCAAGGCCCTCGCGACTGGGTGGCTGGAGACCGCACTCCCTCCTGCAACAGTCCACCCGCTGCCCGCGTGAGTGGGCGGCTGGAGACTGACCGCCCTCCGGCAACCGACCGCACGACTGGGCGGCTAGAGATCGCCCGCCCGCCAGCGACAGCCGGCCCGCTGCCCCTGCAACTGGGCAGCTGGAAACTGCACGCCCGCCGGCGACCGATTGCCCGCCGGCTGCCCGCGCGTCTGGGCGGCTGGAGACCGCCCGCCCACCGGCGACCGGGAGCTGAAACCAACCAGAGACAGTCCAGTCCCACCCCCCCATTCGGACACCCCAGCAAGGAGCCTGGGGCCCGCCATAGCAGAGAGGTGACGTCACTGGAGCTCCGTGGTCGGAATTCCTTCCCAGCAGAATCCACTTTAGCAGGCATACTCTACCAACACAAAGGAGAAACAACAGATATATACAAAACCAAAACAAATCTATAGAAGAGAGCAGAAACACAGCAATCAAATAGAACTGGAAAGTAATGTGAACATCATGAAAAAAACAAGGGAAAAAAGGAGTACAAACAATGCAGGACAACTTAAATCTACAGGAGGACCTAGAAGCATCAGAAACATGGATAGGGAAAGAACTCAAGGCATACCTAACTCAGATGGAAAGGAAAATTAGAGAAGACATGAGACAGCAAGTCCAAGCAATAAAAGTATATTTTGAAAATGAATTAAACAAACAAATTCAAATGGCAAAGAATGAGCTTTACCAGGAGATAGAGATCTTAAAAAAAAAATCAAACAGTAATCCTAGAAATGCAGGAAACTATAAACCACATTAAAAACTCAAACAAGAATATTACAAATAGACTAGATCAAGTAGTAGTCAGAACATCAGATAATGAAGACAAAGTTTATCAACTTGAAAAGAATATAGTCAACACAGAAAAGATGCTTAAATCCCATGAGCAATCTATTCAAGAGATATGGGATGTCATAAAAAAACCAAATTTGAGAGTCATCGGGATAGAAGAAGGCATAGAAATTCAAACCAAAGGAATGGACAACATATTAAATGAAATAATTCTAGAAAACTTCCCAGAGATGAAAGATGGAATGGATTGCCAAATCCTGGAAGCCTACAGGACCCCAAACATTCAAAACCATAATAGACCAACTCCAAGACATATAATTATGAAGATAGCCAACATGCAGAACAAGGAGAGAATATTAAAAGCTATGAGAGAAAGGGGGCAGATTACATTCAGGGGTAAACCAATTAGGTTAACGGCTGATTTTCCATCACAGACTTTGAAAGCGAGAAGATCCTGGAACAATGTATTTCAAACGCTGAAAAATAATGGATTCCAACCAAGAATACTGTATCCAGCAAAATTAAGCTTCAGATTTGACAATGAAATTAAAATCTTTCACGATAAACAAAAGCTAAAAGAATTCGCAGCCAGAAAACCAGCAATGCAAAGCATTTTGAGCAAAATACTACAAGGAGAGTAATTGAAAAATAGTGCCCAAAACTAATAGCGGGAGGTAT